CGTTATGTGCTCATTGCTGGCTGTTTTTGACTGCAACTTTCTAAAGATGCAGCTTATCAAAGGTTTGGTTGGGGTCACTGTCAGAAAATTCCTCATTTCTAGGTTGAATCTCTCCTTGATTAGCGCATAGAAGTACATAGAATAACAGAGTTGGCAGGGACCTTGGAGGTCATCTAGTCCACCCCCCTCCAAGCAGGAGATCCTACAGCATTTCTGACAGATGGCAGTTGAGTCTCTTCTTAGAAGCCTCCAGGGATGAAACCCCCACAACTTCCGAAGGAAACTTCTGTTCCGTTGGTTGATTGTTTTCATGGTCAGAAAATTTCTCTTTATTTCCAGATAGAATCTCTCCTTGGTTAGTTTCTATCCATTGTTCCTTGTCTGGCCTTTGGGTGCCTTGGAGAATAGCTTGACCCCCTCCTCTCTGTAGTAGCCCCCCAAATATTGGAAGACGCTCTTCTGTCTCCCCTGGCCCTTCTCTTCACTAGACCAGCCATGCCAAGTTCAGTTTAAAAATGAACATGCAGATGAGCACCCCCAGCAGACTTTTGGTATGAGATGGTTGATGGTCTTGCCCGATGCCATGGTCAAGTGAAGGAGGAGAGGCTTAACTGACCTCTTGCCTCACCACGAGAACCTAGAAGGAGCTTCTCTCTCTGGTGGCTTCCGGAACCAATTCAGGAGCTTCACCTACTTCCTTCCTCCCTACAGAGAGCTTGCTACCTGTCCATCAACCCTCAGAAGGATGAAGCCCTTGAGACAGAGAAGGTGCAGTACACGCTGCCTGACGGAAGCACTTTAGATGTAAGTTCCTGAACTAAATCATGTGCGTTGCTCCTGGGATGTGAAACTTCCTGTTTCGATGTGCAAGAGAAGCATGATGATGATTTTTTTTTAAAGGCTTTATGTTGTGTTCCGCCAGTTGTCTGCAGAGCTAGCAGCAGAGTCAGACAGTGAGGAGGTTGGGGAGGAACATGGGCTAGTCCTGGAGTCTGGGGAAGGCTCGGACGAGAGCTCTACATTGGAGGCAGAGAGGGGGCCAAGGCCATCTGGTAGTTATTTGCTTCCTGCGGAGTCTGACATCAGCAAAGCAGAAGAACAATGGGATCCTGTTCCCAGTGTGCGCATGCGCAGAGCTGCCAGAAGGCAAGAACAATTAAGAAAACAGGGTCAACTTGAGAGTAAGGCTTGGAGATGATTGACCCCTCCGATAAGACATAAAAGAGGAGCAAATGGGACGTGAACTTTTGCAGGAAGCAATTAGTTCATCTGGTCAGTTCAAGTTCTGAAAAGTTCTGTGTGACTCTGTGCTACATT